CGGACACACACGACAAATGACAGACACACACACACACATATGACAGACTGACACACACACACACACTCTCCTCCAGAGAGCTGTTTTTTCAGGACAGAAACGGCCGAAAGCGATCTGTAAAAACAAAGTCAATAGAGCAGAGACAGACTCAGAAAACCATCTATAGAAAAAGAGAGATTTGTTTATTTTTGTCAGACGTTAAAAAGGTTAAAAAGGTGATTACAGATGGTCGACATGTGCAGTGAACAAATGATGCCTCTTTGCAAAACTCAAACAAAACAATTCAAGAATATACATAACACCAAAATGCACAAGAGAAAGTGGGGTAGTCTCGCATAGCAACCACCTAGCAACCAGTTAATTAGGAGCAGTGCTGGCCTGTTCTGAGATGAAAGGCACTTGATTGGTCGATGTTACACAGCAAGGCAATTTTATTTGTATAATCACAGAACATTAAAAAGAAAGATAAAAATATATAATATCTCAGTTGTAACTGTTTTAACCTGGTTTTAAACTTGTCTCACATATTCAGGAAGACTGTTACAGATTGTAGCTGTTTAAAAACCTGAAGACACCGGGCCTGGAATAGTTTGGTTTGGTTTAGTTTAGTTTAGTTTAGTTTAGTTTAGTTTAGTTTAGTTTAGTTTGGTTTGGTTTGGTTTGGTTTAGTTTAGTTTAGTTTAGTTTAGTTTAGTTTGCCTGTGTACACTAGAGCAGCTTCTTCATTGGAGCTTTATAAATCTAGTCCAAAGACATATTTTTACCACTTGGCCTTAAAATGATGTATAACACGCCACAGCCCACATTAACCTCATACTTTCATGTTTGCCAGCTCTTCCGACCTGTAATACCCTGTGTACAGAACCACTGGTTGGGAAACACTGCCATAGATTATCAATGAAGCCTTTTCTGTAACTTTTTTATGATAAATGATGATATATTTGTGTGCCTCAGGTTCGGAGTGTTTGAGTTCCTGAGTAACCGGGCCAAAGACGAGAGCGGGAGACTGGACCCGACCAGGGGCCTGCTGTGTGGGCTGGGGGCCGGGGTCCTGGAGGCCGTGCTCATCGTCTGCCCCATGGAGACCGTCAAGGTGAGGGGGACTTTAAAAACAGAGAAGAAGAAGAAGAAGGAAGCACAAAACAAGTGAATACATGTCTGAGCGTTTGTGGCATTAGAAGGACAGTTTTTATGTATAGCGCGGTTCATACACAGGACACAGCACACCAGAAAATTAAAGTAAAAATTGTAAATAATCACAGTATGTTAAAAAAAGAGCTTCAGTTGTTGCCCCGAAATAACTGTTTTTAACCTGGATTTTAACATTGATAGTGGTAGTCCGTCTCACATTTTCAGGAAGAACAAAATATTAACGGGCCTGAAATACGGCTACAGCTGCTTTTTGAATAAGTGTATTTGTAGACAGTTAAAAAAATTTAGAATTCAGACAAATGTGTTGAAAAATGTATAAAATATGTTCGATTTGGCGTCAGCTTTTTTGTTTTTTTTTTTTGTCATTTTTGATGGTCTATTGCTGAGAATTTTGTGGGAAAGAGACACACTTCAACACAAAGCACAATATCAAGCTTGTAGAACTCTCTCTCTCCCTGAAACTGGGAGAGAGAATAGATGTGTATGTAATAAAATGTTGAGTCCTGACCCAAAAACTTGAAATTATCTTGAAAATCCAAACCAGATTTTATGGCAAAACAGCTAAGAACGACCCTAAAGTTTTCCCGCTCCGTCCAATTTCACCTACGATTTATACTTTTTTTGCAGTGAAAAGGCACATAGCCATATTTGTTGTCGTGTATAGACTCTAATCTTGTTTTTTTCGGTCCTAATTCTTTTTATCTCAAGGTGAAATTCATCCACGATCAGACGTCAGCGAATCCCAAATACAAGGGCTTCTACCACGGGGTACGGCAGATCGTGAGGGAACAGGGTAAAGTCTATAATTATATGAATCTAGACACAGTCACGGTCTATGGAAGTCTGGCTGTGGCTCTGTGCTGCCCTCTGCTGGTCCAACTCTATACCACCTCTAGTTTTGTAGAGTAAAATGTATTTAAAAGGTGAAAAATTGAAAAGCTAAATAAAAAGTGCCACCCATACGTATGTTATAACACTTTAAATCAGTCTTCACTATTTAACAGCTAATAAAGGGATGATTAAAACCCTCACCAAAACACTGGCTATAACTCTAACCGACATGGAAAGGGTCAGTTAGTAGTAAAAGGACTGATAAGAGCTTAATAAATATCAAATTATACACTAATAAGCACGTTTAACAGAAAAGGTAGTTCAATGTTTTTTTAATATATTTTGTTTTTATTTCAAGCTTAGAGTATTTACATATAATACACACCCAATCCCATGTAAAGAGAAGATTAAGGAGACCCAGAAGTGGATTAAGGGGAAGAAAATGGATGGATGGTTATTTATCTCGCAGTGGGAAAGTTTCATTACCAGTTACAGAACAAAAGCACAAAAATCTCTCATTTTAGCAAAATAAAGAAGCAAGTATAAAACAAATTCACTAATACACACTGTGCTATCCGTAAACAAATAACAAATACAATAATTTAATATCCCAGTGGGGGCGGGTCCCAGCTCAAAAGTGGCCAAAATGACGTGCGCTGACATGCTTGCAATACCACCCCGGGCCGATGGGGGTGGACATGGAATAAGAATTAGCCAATGCTAACATATAGCATCTTCTGACCTCTCGAAAACGTCTTTACAGGATGGACCAAAATTTGGCTCTTGGCCCAAAGCTCTGTTCCACATGTGTGTCAATGCTGAGGGGGGTGTATGTTTTGGACCAGTCTAGTTTAGTCGCTGTGAGTCTTTGAAGGCACTCGTTAAATGAATGCCGGCTGACACATGCGCAGATGCGTTTTTTCACATTTTCCAGCCCCCGCGGCCATTTTGAAACTGCCCATAGACTGCGGAAGTTGTGGCACATTAGTTAGAACGGCGGATGTAGGCTTGACTACGTCCGTTAATATTTACAGTCTATAGTATCAACCCAGAGCCTTTTATTAATTCAGTAAATCATACACAAAGTAATAAAGCATGTCACCATTTATAACAATGTCATTTACAATATTGATGTTTTTAGGACTGAGGGGGACGTACCAGGGCCTCACGGCGACCGTCCTGAAACAGGGATCCAACCAGGCCATCCGCTTCTCCGTCATGACCTCGCTGAAGAACTGGTACAAAGGTCTGTGTTTGGGGCCCATGAATGAGTCAATGCATCCTGTCTGCCTTTTACAACAAAAGTATTGCTCCCTAAATACAGTGCCTTGCAAAAGTATTCCTTGAACCTTTCAACATTTCGCCACATTTTAGGCTTCAAACATAAAGATATAAAAAAATAATTTTTTGTCAAGAATCAACAACAAGTGGGACACAATCGTGAAGTGGAATGAAATGTATTGGATAATTTAAACTTTTTTAACAAATAAAAAACTGAAAAGTGGGGCGTGCAATATTATTCGGCCCCCTTGCGCTAATACTTTGTAGCGCCACCTTTTCCTGCAATTACAGCTGCAAGTCGCTTGGGGTATGTCTCTATCAGTATTGCACATCGAGAGACTGGAATTCTTGCCCATTCTTCCTTGAAAAACAGCTCGAGCTCAGTGAGGTTGGATGGAGAGCGTTTGTGAACAGCAGTCTTCAGCTCTTTCCACAGATTCTCGATTGGATTCAGGTCTGGACTTTGACTTGGCCATTCAAACACCTGGATACGTCTATTTGTGAACCATTCCATTGTAGATTTGGTTTTATGTTTTGGATCATTGTCCTGTTGGAAGATAAATCTCCGTCCCAGTCTCAGGTCTTTTGCAGACTCCAACAGGTTTTCTTCCAGAATGGTCCTGTATTTGGCTCCATCCATCTTCCCATCAATTTTAGCCATCTTCCCTGTCCCTGCTGAAGAAAAGCAGGCCCAAACCATGATGCTGCCACCACCATGTTTGACAGTGGGGATGGTGTGTTCAGGGTGATGAGCTGTGTTGCTTTTACGCCAAACATATTGTTTTGCATTGTGGCCAAAAAGTTCGATTTTGGTTTCATCTGACCAGAGCACCTTCTTCCACATGTTTGGTGTGTCTCCCAGGTGGCTTGTGGCAAACTTTAAACGAGACTTTTTATGGATATCTTTGAGAAATGGCTTTCTTCTTGCCACTCTTCCATAAAGGCCAGATTTGTGCAGTGCACGACTGATTGTTGTCCTATGGACAGACTCTCCCACCTCAGCTGTAGTTATCTGCAGTTCATCCAGAGTGATCATGGGCCTCTTGGCTGCATCTCTGATCAGTCTTCTCCTTGTTTGAGATGAAAGTTTGGAGGGACGGCCGGGTCTTGGTAGATTTGCAGTGGTCTGATACTCCCTCCATTTCAATATAATTGCTTGCACAGTGCTCCTTGAGATGTTTAAAGCTTGGGAAATCTTTTTGTTTCCAAATCCGGCTTTAAACTTCTCCACAACAGTATCTTGGACCTGCCTGGTGTGTTCCTTTGTCTTCATGGTTCTCTCTGCGCTTTAAACAGAACCCTGAGACTATCAAAGAGCAGGTGCATTTATACGGAGACTTGATTACACACAGGAGCATTCTATTTATCATCATCAGTCATTTAGGACAACATTGGATCATTCAAAGATCCTCACTGAACTTCTGGACTGAGTTTGCTGCCCTGAAAGTAAAGGGGCCGAATAATATTGCACGCCCCACTTTTCAGTTTTTTATTTGTTAAAAAAGTTTAAATTATCCAATAAATTTCGTTCCACTTCACGATTGTGTCCCACTTGTTTTTGATTCATGACAAAAAATTAAAGTTTTAAATCTTTATGTTTGAAGCTTGAAATGTGGCGAAATGTTGAAAGGTTCAAGTTTTGAAAGGTTGAAAGGTTGTAAGTTTTGTTCATTTCTTAGCTGTATTTACGCTCTTTAATATGTGTTTTCGGCCGGTAATCTTCAAATGTGTAAACAATTATTGACAAATTCTACTCCTCCCTCCGGTGGTAGCATAGGTGTAGGGCAGGCCGATAGCATTACTTACGCTTTGTACTTGTTTCTCCATTTATTTTACCCTGGAGATTTGAATTCAGATTTTAAAACATGAAATGACAAAGAACAAAGTCTCATTATCAAATGTAAAAAGTTAATTTGATAATTAACTTTTTGCATTCATTCTATTTTATTATCTTTAAGGCAGAAGTATGTGTCAAATCTGGCCAAAAGTGGTACTGCAGCCTCTCCCACTCTCCCTGACTCAGGTTGCCAGTTATGCAGACGGATCTAGCTGGGACCATAATATCTGAATAGACAAGAGTTTTGTCAACAAGAAATCTATAACCAACACCTTTTTCACAAAGAAATCCTCGTTTTATTCATTGTTTTGTCGTTAATGATTTGAGAATCATAACGAGACCTTTTTTAGTTTTGCGACCACATGGCACCAGTGAGATTAGCTCGACGCAGTGAGTTCTGGCAACCCAGATCATGAACTTTCTGATTGGTAAAACGATGGAGGGCGGAACATCGATATGAAAACAATCACACAATTTAGGGACTGTAACTGTAACTAACTTGGAAATCCAAATATCTCTGAACTTCTGTTATCAGTTAAAGACGTATTGGAAAAGAGCAGGTTTTATTAATGCTTTTTGACAGAGTAGGGCCCTTTTTTTTGATGAGTTTACATGAAAATCTTACATGTTGGTACTTTAAGGCTTAGAATGTTCTATCCTAAAATAATGCAGAATACTCCTTCTTTAAATAATCCATTCCGATGTTGATCTCTGAATAATGTTTACATAAGTACATTCCATGACTTTTTAATCACCCCACATTTGTTCCATGTCTTTAGGTGAGGATCCAAACAAAGCCATTAACCCTTTAGTGACCGGAGCCTTCGGAGCGACCGCGGGCGCCGCCAGTGTCTTTGGGAACACTCCGCTGGACGTCATCAAGACTCGGATGCAGGTGAAGTTTCCGGAACATGAAACAATGAACATGAGATTCAGTGTGAGAAAAAGTGTTCAGTCTCAACACAAACTGTGAAAGACCTCCCAGAGTTTAGTTTAGTTTAGACACGACAAAGAAGACATCTCTCACAGACAAACGGGACACTCACAAACACAAACAGACACTCTCGCGAGGGTTCTAGGTTCAAATCCCGGTCAGAACATGGCCTTTCTGAGTGGAGTTTGCATGTTCTCCCCGTGTCAACTTAGGTTTCCTCCGGGTACTCCGGTTTCCCCTCCCTTTCTTCCTTCTTCTGATTCTTTCTTTCTTTCTTTTTCTTCCTTGTTCTTCTTCCTGCTTTATTTCTTCTTCCCTCTTCTTCTTCCTTCTTTCTATCTCCTTCTTCCTTCTTTCTTCCTTCTTATTCTTCCTTCTTTCTTCCTCTGTTGAGTTTTATAGCAGCCGACATCCTCTTGGTGCATTTGCCAACACCTACCTTATGTTTTAGTTTTTTGCACTTAGTGTTTGCAGCGATGGTAAAGTTACTCACGTCTGTCAAATCCTCCTCAGTCCTTCAACTCAAAGTAATAGAAACAACGAAAAAATAATTAAATACGAACCCCAGGCCTTTTCTATCCAAACCCCTTGTTTCCTGTGTTAATGGAACCGCCTGGACTTCTCTGTATAAAAGATACCTCAAACCAGAGCACTCCAAACTCTCCCTGGTCTAACTCTGCGTCTCAACCTGTGCAGGGTTTGGAGGCGCACAAATACAAGAGCACTCTGGACTGCGCTGTGAAGATCATGAGGCACGAAGGACCAGTGGCGTAAGTAGTTTCTTTGGCTTCAAGTGGCTTTTGAGATACAACCAAATTCTTTAACTTGAGTAAATAAAACACCCATTGTAGAGAGATACTCTTAATGGCTTCTTAAGATGTGGTAATAATACATTGTACTTATATATTGCGTTTTTTGGACACTGCAAGACGCTTTACCAAGGCACAGGTTTATAAGAAACAAATATAAAAAGCTAAAATCAACCGTTCAGTGTCAGCAGTGTGGGTTTTGAGCCGTCATTCGAAGTTTTAAAATTAGTCCGAGTTCTTGATGTGTTTTGGGAGAGAGTTCCAGAGAGTGGGGGCGGCTGCAGCGAAGGCTCGGTCTCTCAGGATTCAGAAGGCTCGGTCTCTCAGGATTCAGAAGGCTCGGTCCTCAGGGTTCAGAAGGATCGGTCCCTCAGGGTTCAGAAGGCTCGTTCTCTCAGGGTTCAGAAGGCTCGGTCTCTCAGGGTTCAGAAGGCTCGGTCTCTCAGGGTTCAGAAGGCTCGGTCTCTCAGGGTTCAGAAGGCTCGATCTCTCAGGGTTCAGAAGGCTTGATCTCTCAGGGTTCAGAAGGCTTGATCTCTCAGGGTTCAGAAGGCTCGGTCCTCAGGGTTCAGAAGGCTCGAGCTCTCAGGGTTCAGAAGGCTTGGTCTCTCAGGGTTCAGAAGGCTCGGTCTCTCAGGGTTCAGAAGGCTCGGTCTCTCAGGGTTCAGAAGGCTCGATCTCTCAGGGTTCAGAAGGCTTGGTCTCTCAGGGTTCAGAAGGCTCGGTCTCTCAGGGTTCAGAAGGCTTGGTCTCTCAGGGTTCAGAAGGCTCGGTCTCTCAGGGTTCAGAAGGCTCGGTCCTCAGTATTCAGAAGGATCGGTCTCTCAGGGTTCAGAAGGATCAGTCTCTCAGGGTTCAGAAGGCTCGGTCTCTCAGGGTTCAGAAGGCTCGATCTCTCAGGGTTCAGAAGGCTCGGTCTCTCAGGGTTCAGAAGGCTCGGTCTCTCAGGGTTCAGAAGGCTTGGTCTCTCAGGGTTCAGAAGGCTCGGTCTCTCAGAGTTCAGAAGGCTCGGTCCTCAGTATTCAGAAGGATCGGTCTCTCAGGGTTCAGAAGGATCAGTCTCTCAGGGTTCAGAAGGCTCGGTCTCCAGGGTTCAGAAGGCTCGGTCTCTCAGGGTTCAGAAGGCTCGGTCTCCAGGGTTCAGAAGGCTCGGTCTCCAGGGTTAGGCCCTTCGTTCTGATGTAAGTGAGGAGGTTGGAGTCTGGCGGTAGGGACAGAGCTGATGGAGGAGATGTGAGGGCGCCAGGTCATGAAGGGAATAGTAGCTGATGAGGAGTACCTTATATCGGATGCAGTATGGGACGGGGATCCAGTGGAGTTGTTTGAGGATGGGGGTGATGTGGTCTCTGAAGCAGGTGTGGATGAGGAAGTTGGGGGCAGAGTTCTGGATCCGTGTGTAGCCATTTCTGATCTGGTGTGACTTCAGTTTCAGTTTCAGTTGATTCTTCTTCACGATATCACACATTTACACATACATTGAGTTTGGAGCCATTTTTGTAACACTGAGAAAACTAAACGCTCCTTGTTTGTGTCGGACAGGTTTTACAAAGGCACGGTTCCTCGTCTGGGTCGCGTGTGTCTGGATGTGGCCATCGTCTTCATCATCTACGAAGAGGTGGTGAAGGTTCTCAACACGGTGTGGAAAACAGACTGAACTGACTGAAGAAAAGAGAATTGGAATCTTGACCTGCTGAAGTGGAACCATGAAGCGTGGAGCTCACACGGACTTACGCCATGAGGATGAAACTCAGTCCTGATAAAACGTTTGAGAAGATCGTTTGCAAAAAAACTGAATTCTGTTTGAAAATAATGTCGAATTGTTTTATTTTCTTTTGAGTTCAAGCATAAACTCAAGCAGAGGTTCTCAACTGGTGGGTCTCTCTAGTCTCTTTCTGATCTCTCTCTATTGTCTCTCTCTGGTCTCTCTCTGGTCTCTCTGGGGTCTCCCTCCAGTATCACTCTGGTTTCTCTCTGGTCTCTCACCATGATTTTTCTCTCTGGTCTCTCGCTGGTCTCTCTCTCTGCCCTATCTCTCTGATCTTTCTCTCTGGTTTCTCGCTCTGTGGTTTCTCTCTCTGGTCTCCCTCTCTGGTCTCTCTCTTTTCTCTCTCTCTGGTCTCTCTCTCTATGTAAATTGTGCATAAGCCTTTGAAACCTCAATCTGTTTTTTGCAAATGATCTCTCTGACGTCCTCCAGGTCTATAACAGGGTTAGCTGTTTCTTTTCACAAACTAAAATGAATCATTGCCGTTACGATGATTATGTTTGTGATCATTCCAATCTTCTTCAGACTCAGAACATGCGAAACTTGAATATTCTTTAGTGGAAGAATCCTGCTGTGATCCACTTGAACACACCTCCATTCCTCTATGGTCTCTCTCTGGTCTCCGTTCTCTCTCTAGTTTCTCTCTCTCTTTTCTCTCTCTGGGTTCTCCCTCTTGTCTCTCTTTGGGCTCTCCCTCTAGTCTCTCTCTGATCTCTCTCTCTGGTCTCTCTGTGCTCTCCCTCTGCTCTCTCTCTTTCTGGTCTCCCTCTGGTGTGTCTCTTTCTGAGCTCTCTCACTGGTCTCTGGTAACTCTCTGGTCTGTCTCTGGTCTCTCTCATTCTGGTCTCTCTCTTGTCGCTCTCTCTGCTCTCTCTCTTTCTGGTCTCCCTCTGATTTCTCTCACTGTTCTCTGGTCTCTCTCTGGTCCGTCTCTGGTCTCCCTTGTCTCTCTCTCTCTGGTCTCTGTCTCTGGTCTGTCACTGGTCTGTCTCTGGTCTGTCTCTGGTCTGTCTCTGGTCTCTGGTACTTGAATCCACCTCCATTCCTCCATAATTATCATGACTCTGTGTAATGAGAGTTTAATCCTCATTTATTTTGTCAGAAATGTCGCCAAAAGAAAAAGATGCAATGAACCATAGAGGAACCATGAAGCCATTATACAGTAAATACTCAGACCTGCCCTAAATGTACGCAAAAGTTAGCCGCAAACTTTAACACCATATTTTAGAGTTTAAAGTATTTTAGAAGAATTTATTTTTATAGATTTTGTCTTCTAAGTTTGCCACCAGCAGCAGAAGTAAAGATTTATTTTCATTTTGTGCCAAATGACCTGCCTTGAAACTGTGCTATAAAAATGAGACGTTTACTTATAATAGTATTAATGAGATGTATTTATTGTTGATTGTGTGTAAGAAAAAGGTTTTGTGTATGAAATGTTTTTATTTATGCAATGTTTTTGATTTAAAATTAAAAAACGATTGTAGCTAAAACTGCGTATCATAAGATTTTACAAACATTATCCCATATTTATCATTTCACTTCCTGGTTGTGATTGATGACATCACACTAGGGAGGTTCCCAAGCAACCATGTTTTAGCCATAGCCTGTATATAGATGCTAACTCGCTAGCTCAATGCAGCCCAATAGGGAAGTGCTCATGGACAAAGTTTTGCACCAACTTGCTCTGTCTCCTAGTATTCCAAAGTGAGTGCTGAGGCAAAGTCCCGGATTGTACTGGGACCGGAGCCATCAGACCGGTTTGGGAGCAACGCCAAATATGTCTTTGTAGTCTGAGATGGGAGAATAAAACTGCTGATTCTATTGTGCTCCTCCTGGTCTGATTTAGAATAACATATGTCCTTGATGAGAAATACGTTTGTTCTTTTTGTCCAACTGAGATGCTGCTGTCGTTGCCTGATGTGTGGCCGCTGCAGCAGCTCACATCGTGCTCAATATGTTTTACAATTTGACTCAATTGATGTCTTTGGTCTCTTTCTGGTCTCTCTCTTGTTCTGGCCTCTCTCTGGTCTCTCTATAGGGTTGTCTCTGGTTTCTCTCTGGTTTCTCTCTAGTCTTTCTCTGGTCTCCCTCTGGCCTCTCTCTGGTCTCTCTAGTCTCTGTCTCTGGTCTCTCCCCGGTCTATCTCTGTTCTTTCTCTCTGGTATTTTTGTCTCTGGTCTCTCTCTAGTGTCCCTCTCTGGTCTCTCTCTGGTCTCTCTCCCCAGTCTCTCTCTCTGGTCTTTCTCTGGTCTCTCTCTAGTCTCTCCCTGGTCTCTTTTGTCTCTCCCCAGTCTCTCTCCGGTCTCTCTCTCTCTCTCTGGTCTCTCTCTGGTCTCCCCCCGGTCTCTCTCTCTGGTTTCTCTATAGTCTCTCTTTAGTCTATCTCTGGTCTCTCTGGTCTCTCTCCCCAGTCTCTCTCTGGTCTCTCTCTGGTCTCTCTCTCTGGTCTCTCTCTCTCTCTCTCTCTCTCTCCGGTCTTTCTCTGGTCTCTCTCTAGTCTCTCTCTGGTCTCTCTCTGGTCGCTCTCTGGGTTCTCTATAGTCTCTCTTTAGTCTATCTCTGGTCTCTCTCCCCAGTCTCTCTCTGGTCTCGCTCTGGTCTCTCTCTGGTCTCTCTCGAGTCTATCTCTGGTCTCTCTCTCTGGTCTCTCTCTCTGGTTTCTCTCTAGTCTCTCTCTGGTCTCTCTCTGGTCTCTCTCTCTGGTCTCTCTCTCTGGTCTCTCTCTCTGGTCTCTCTCTGGTCTCTCTCTCTGGTCTCTCTCTCTGGTTTCTCTCTAGTCTCTCTTTAGTCTCTCTCTGGTCTCTCTCTGGTCTCTCTCTCTGGTCTCTCTCTGGTCTCTCTCTCTGGTCTCTCTCTGTCAGATTATAGTATGTAAAAACAATATAATCAGGGTTATAACGATGTATCAGTAATGTGCCTTTTCATTTGTTCCTTTGTCTCCGTTGGCAACAGTGGGTGAATGTATGATATCTTTGTACTTGTGGCAATAATGAGACCTGTCGTACCTGTGATCAATGTGACCGTGCACTGAACAGAGGATATCTGAGTGTGATGTGGTGCTTTTCTGTTCACTTGAAAAATAAACAATGTTCGATGAAATCTTAAAGACCTTATGCCGGGTTTGATTTATTTAGAAATGCAGTTTTAATACCATTTTATATTAGAAGAGAACTACTAAAGGTTTCAAAATCAGTTGTTGTTTTTTTTGTCTGATCCCCCCAAATCGAAATAACCCCATAGCAACGCCCTTAGAAACGAAAAAACTTCACAGCCCTTGGTGACGTCAGAGTGGGTACGTTTCAACGCTGTAAGTTGTTTACAATTTGGTATTCGTTCTTTTTTCGCGGATATTCAAGATGACAAGGCCGTGTACAGCGAGTCTGACATAAATACTAGATTGTAACACTTTGTTGGCACTGAGATAGTCCAGTGGTTGTGTCGACCACTCAGACACTTTTTCACTCTCAAAACGGCAATTTATGTGTAGAGGGCAGTATTGTGTTGGGCATCAGTGGAGCGAAGAGAGAAAAGGCAGTCCTGTGGCATAGATCCATGGTTTTCAATGCATGGGCGTAACCCGCTGTGACGTCACACACAGGTTAGAGCATAGACAACTTAAATTCATGAAAAACACGTTCTTTTTATGAAATATGGGATTTTTTTTGCCAGAATCTCTTTCAGATTGACATTGTCATGCAATTTTGATATCCACTATTTTTTTTTTAAACCCGGCATAAGGTCTTTAAAAGGCCTGATTTGGATTTCAGTATTTACTCCCCACACACACACACACACACACACACACCCACACACACACACACACACACATACACACACACACACACACACACACACACACACACACACACACACACACACACACACACATACAAGTGGGAGGTGCCCAGGTGGAATGGGCAAAACATCACTGCAAAAAAAGGACTAAAAATGTATTGCATGGACTTTCTCAGGTTTCTCTATCGGTTCTCTCTGGTCTCTCTCTGGTCTCTCCGGTTTCTCTCTGGTCTCCTTGATTCAATTTCTCTGGTCTCTCTCTCTGGTCACTCTCCTGACACTCTCACTGGTCCCTCTCTGGTCTCTCCCTGACCTCTTTTTCCTGGTCTCTCTCTGGTCTCTCTTCGTTCTCTCTCTCTGGTCTCTCTCTAGTCTCTGGTCTCTCTTTAGCCTCTCTCTCTGGTCTCTCTCTGGTTTTCCTGTAGCCGTTGGTCCTACTCCTTTCTGGTCTCTCTCTGGTCTCTCTATGGTAACTCTTCAGTCTTTCTCTGGTCTCACTGGTCACTCTCTGACCTCTCTCTCTCTGGCCTCTCTCTTTTGTCTCTCTTGTTTCTTCTTCTCTGATCCCTCTTCCTTCTCTCTCTTTAGCCTATCTCTCTGGTCACTCTCTGACCTCTCTCTCTGGTCTCTCTCTCTAGTCTCTCTCTAGTTTCTCTCTGGTCTCTCTCTGGTCTCTCTCTGGTCTCTCTCTCTAGTCTCTCTCTAGTCTCTCTCTGGTCTCTCTCTGGTCTCTCTCTGGTCTCTCTCTCTAGTCTCTCTCTGGTCTCTCTCTGGTCCCTCTCTCTAGTCTCTCTCTGGTCTCTCTCTCTAGTCTCTCTCTGGTCTCTCTCTCTAGTCTCTCTCTAGTCTCTCTCTGGTCTCTCTCTCTAGTCTCTCTCTGGTCTCTCTCTGGTCTCTCTCTCTAGTCTCTCTCTAGTCTCTCTCTGGTCTCTCTCTGGTCTCTCTCTCTAGTCTCTCTCTAGTCTCTCTCTGGTCTCTCTCTGGTCTCTCTCTCTAGTCTCTCTCTAGTCTCTCTCTGGTCTCTCTCTGGTCTCTCTCTCTAGTCTCTCTCTAGTCTCTCTCTGGTCTCTCTCTGGTCTCTCTCTCTAGTCTCTCTCTAGTCTCTCTCTGGTCTCTCTCTAGTCTCTCTCTGGTCTCTCTCTCTAGTCTCTCTCTAGTCTATCTCTGGTCTCTCTCTCTAGTCTCTCTCTAGTCTATCTCTGGTCTCTCTCTGGTCTCTCTCTCTAGTCTCTCTCTGGTCTCTCTCTCTAGTCTCTCTCTAGTCTCTCTCTGGTCTCTCTCTGGTCTCTCTCTCTAGTCTCTCTCTCTCTAGTCTCTCTCTAGTCTCTCTCTGGTCTCTCTCTGGTCTCTCTCTCTAGTCTCTCTCTGGTCTCTCTCTGGTCACTCTCTCTAGTCTCTCTCTGGTCTCTCTCTCTAGTCTCTCTCTGGTCTCTCTCTGGTCTCTCTCTCTAGTCTCTCTCTAGTCTCTCTCTAGTCTCTCTCTGGTCTCTCTCTCTGGTCTCTCTCTCTAGTCTCTCTCTCTCTAGTCTCTCTCTTTCTAGTCTCTCTCTAGTCTCTCTCTGGTCTCTCTCTCTAGTCTCTCTCTCTCTAGTCTCTCTCTAGTCTCTCTCTCTCTAGTCTCTCTCTAGTCTCTCTCTAGTCTCTCTCTAGTCTCTCTCTGGTCTCTCTCTCTAGTCTCTCTCTCTCTAGTCTCTCTCTTTCTAGTCTCTCTCTAGTCTCTCTCTGGTCTCTCTCTCTAGTCTCTCTCTCTCTAGTCTCTCTCTAGTCTCTCTCTGGTCTCTCTCTCTAGTCTCTCTCTCTCTAGTCTCTCTCTCTCTAGTCTCTCTCTAGTCTCTCTCTGGTCTCTCTCTGGTCTCTCTCTCTAGTCTCTCTCTGGTCTCTCTCTGGTCCCTCTCTCTAGTCTCTCTCTGGTCTCTCTCTCTAGTCTCTCTCTGGTCTCTCTCTGGTCTCTCTCTCTAGTCTCTCTCTGGTCTCTCTCTCTAGTCTCTCTCTAGTCTGTCTCTGGTCTCTCTCTCTAGTCTCTCTCTCTCTAGTCTCTCTCTAGTCTCTCTCTAGTCTCTCTCTGGTCTCTCTCTGGTCTCTCTCTGGTCTCTCTCTGGTCTCTCTCTGGTCTCTCTCTGGTCTCTCTCTAGTCTCTCTCTGGTCTCTCTCTTAGTCTCTCTCTCTCATTCTGACTGTCAAGATTCTCCAATGGGACAAACCATTTGGTCTTATTTCATTTTCTCTTGCTTTATTTTCTCACTCCAATTTTTTCTTGTTTCACTCCAATTATTTCTTGTTTCTTTTTAAAGCCAGGTCATTTTCTTGGTCCCATTGTCAAATATTATTTTAACACAGTCAAAAAGTTCTCAAATTAAAATACATTTTGACAGATTTGAGCAATTCTTGACTAACTTTCTGTTCGTATTGACAAGAAGAGTTTTGATGATAGAGACATTTTTGTGATATTTTGTAGAATGACCAGAGAGAGGAGAAGGAGCAGGTGGACAGGCCCAAACAACAGACCCTTTGTTCACGGACACACACACACACACACACACACACTGCAAAACACTACAGAACAACTGAGAGAAAGACAAACTTGAATCGTGGGTTAATGTGTCTGATTTAAAGCTAGGGCACCTAAATCCAAAACAACATTAAAGTCCATCTAACTTATCCCTTTTTCTAAAAATCTTGAATGTTGTATTGATTGAAGTAAACACCAACAGTAGACTTTACAATTCAATATTTAGAGCTCTTAAATATCCTAGAAGTACAGCTGAGGATGATGCTGTGACTCACTCATGGGGGTAAAACAGTGCATCAGTCCTGGACCTACAGCCTCAGTCCCGGATCTACAGCCTCAGTCCTGGATCTACAGCCTCAGTCCTGGATCTACAGCCTCAGTCCCGGATCTACAGCCTCAGTCCCGGATCTACAGCCTCAGTCCTGGATCTACAGCCTCAGTCCTGGATCTACAGCCTCAGTCCTGAACTGTTTGATTCCCGGATCTGCTGTGTGTGAATCAACATTATAAAATCCTTCGAGACGACTGCTGTTGGAAATAGGCCTTTACAAAATACATTGAATTGAATTAAAATCAAAGTGACAAAAAAAAAATCAACTATTTCCTGATTCTCATTATCATTTTAGATAAGATATAGCATACTTACATTTGAACTTGGCACTTCTTTCCCTTCTACGAACAGAAAGGCCACTAGGGGGAGCCAGACTTGCACCACGCAACCATAAAGACACTTGTGGCGCGTCTTCTTTACAGTCTAGGTCTTTCTACAAACAAGAAGCGACCGTTATTATAATAGATCCATGGAAGCGACAGATGTTGACTTCCCAGCGGTCTGTGCGGCTCCTCGGTGTCCTCGCCTCATTCTTATGTCCTGCTACAGTCTCATTCAGCTCCATTCAAACCAGTTTAGAACACATAATGGGGCTGAGAACTCTTGTTTAGGCTTCTGTGGTATGAATGGATTTTGTTTACGCTTTTTGAGTATGTTTTCATATCAAAGCTGGAGTGCCTTCTTTTAAAACCATAACCATTCACATTATGTAGTGTGATCAATATATCTGATAGTTAAGGCGGTGCGGGCCAAACATTGAGATTGCCGGTTCGAATCCCGTCTGGGGCGACGTGAAAAATGAATGAAAATTGTAATAAACTGTTTAAGCCTGTGTACCCAAATATTTTGAAAATGGTAAGATTCTTCATTCGTCCCACAGTGTGGAAATGTCAGTGTTGCATCACAAGTTACAGAACAGTAGAATGAGGAGCACACAAAAATAAATAAATAATAAATACACGTTTTTTTCTGATACAAACACGAACCTCTGCAGCCTTCATCAACAACGGGAGTCAATCCCATAACTGTGTTTTATAGAAGAAATAAAGGGTAAAACAGGGTAAAAGTCTTTCTAATCCCCTCATGATTCTGAGAAAGGTGGTGGTAGTGAATCATTTATAGAGACTGAGAATGGCTTTGCAGAAGCATAAGTAGCAGAGTGGCGCAGCGGAAGCGTGCTGGGCCCATAACCCAGAGGTCGATGGATCGAAACCATCCTCTGCTACGTCTAAACTGCAATTTTCAAACTTGACTGTTTCACTGAAATTCCTGGGATAGATTCAGGTTGTTTTGTAGTGAATCTCACAGTCACATCGCTTTTGACCGATGGGGCCAAGGTCGTGGACATTTCTGCAAACGACTGCTTTAGAAATTAAATGAAATGGCCCATGTGTGGCCTGAAGAGGTCTTCTTTGAGATTTTTAAAAGCAATGCGTGTGTGTGTGTGTGGTTAAATGTACTTTTATGCGTGTATCAAAGTGTGTGTATTACTGTGTAATGTTTGTGTGCATAGGTCAATATATACAGTCTATGCCATAGGTGCATGTACGTATGTGTGTGCGTGTATTCGTGTAAGTGTTTATTATTATCAATATTTATTTCAGACCCAAATTAAATTGGTCCATATTTCAAAACAGGTGTGTGTGTGCGTGTGTACGTATGCTTGCGCGCGTGCGTGTATGTACGCGTGTATGTCTATGATTGTGTGTCTGTGTGTGTGCTTATTGCGTGTATATGAGCGTGTGTGTGTGCGTGTGTGTGTGTGTGCGTATGAGCGCGTGCGTGAGTCCGCGCAGGCAGCAGTCTCTGTCTGGGGGCGGCGTCTGTCCTCATCAGTGCGTCTCTGCTGCTGCTGGATTAGATCCGTCAAAAGCAAAAGTCTGTGATCTGTCTCAGGTCAGAGAAACTCAAAAACTGAACAAACTCCACAGGATCCAACAGGAACGGAGTCCGAGCTGCGTCTGCGTCAGTCTGCGTCAGCCTGCGTCCTCCGTGCGTGTCTCTGTAGAGCCGCGGTGATGATGGGAGACCTCGCATCCTGGAGCTCCGTGGTCCTGCTGGGGTCAGTCCTGTCCGGGGTGATGCTTCCCCCCGCGGAGGCTGGCTGCCGGGAGCGGAGCGGGGCCGCCTGCTGCACCGGGAGGAATAACGAGTGCTCTGAATACTCTCGGCGGAAGTCTGTGTGCTACTGCGACGCGTACTGTCAGAAAACACGGGACTGCTGCGAAGACTATCAACAAGTGTGCCAAATGTCCGGTGAGTTCTGACTTCTGACGTAAAAGACCTGACGCACTGCTGGACACACTCGCAAAGCATGCAGTCAATTTGACGGCTTTTGGTTTTGGAAGTATAATTACTCCGCTTATGTACACTTTTGGTTCTCATAACTCTGTGACTGTTTTCTGTATCTAAATGTAGTTTTATTTTTATGTTATTAAGTTTATGAAATTATCTCAATCCTAGACAGACGGGCTCATCGCGTGCTAGTTACCATAGCAACAAACTGTTTACTTGCTTAGCGGTATTTCATTTATATTAATCGGTTTCAGCACGTGTTAAAGATGAAAGAAGAATGACTTAGTACTTGTTAATACTATTGTGAAAACCTAAAAACTGTAGAATTTCATTAGTTTGAATTTGGAGCCGTGAAAACTGACTGCTTCAGATATGTGGGAGTCCTGGGAGAAATGCATGTATTGAAATTGTAAAGTAATTGAATGTCCACACAAAACGTCGTGCGTAGTGCAAGGCTTTTACTACGGGTTCGGAACTAGCATAATCAACATGCAGGTTAACAACAAGAGGTATATATATACAGCCTATTTGTCATCGCGGGAGTTACCCCGGTAACCAGGCCAGATGTGATTTACGGCACGTGAGACTACTGTCGTAAAGTATCTCTTACATGACATCTCCCCTTTTCAATTCTATTTTTTTTTTTTTTTTTTTTTTTTTTTTAAACATTCTGTAGCAAAAACAAAACCTTGTGAAAGATACTGTAAGAAACTCTTTCATTAGCTGTTTCAATAACACAGAATTTCAAAATGTAAACAGTAATATAAACAGTGCAAAAATAATTAACATTCTTAACACTTTCCTTCTCTTCTATTGTTTTTTTTTCGTGTTGGGCAGTGTTCTTCGTACACCCTTACAGATTCAGTCTTTCTACAGGTCTGCATAACCGACCAGACCGTGTGTATAGCAGTCCATCATCAGGTGGGCAAGGCTGGGTAGCAGGCAACGCAGTGTCTGTAGAAACGGTAGGTACAGCCTGTTGGACAGCATCAGGCTGCGGCTGCTGTAGTGATGGAGGTGGCGTGATAACAGAGGATGCAGGCACGCACAGCAGATGGCGACGGTTGCGTCTCAGAGTTGCCCCTTTTTGCGTCTCGATGACATAAGATCTCGGGGTAGTGCTGTCACCAGCAACAACAGCGGGTGATCCCCAAACATTCTGATGGTCCAACTTGGAGAGAACAGAATCGCCCGGTTTCAGAGGTGGCAGGAGTTTTGTACCATGGCGCTGATTGAAATAGAAGGCTTGCTTCTGTTTCTCCCTTGCATCCTTACTCCTGACTGCTTGTAGATCAGGCCATTGGGGTTGGAGGTTTGACTCAAGCGTCGGAAGTGTAGTTTTAATCCTTCTCCCCATGAGCAATTCAGCTGGGCTTACACCTGTGGTGGCGCACGGGGTAGAGCGGTAACACATGAGAGCGAGTAAAGGGTCTTTCTGCATCAGAATCCTCTTTGCAATTTGTACTCCTCTTTCCGCTTGTCCGTTCGCCTGGGGGTTATGCGGACTCGAGGTAATGTGTTCGAAGTCAAAGTCACGGGCAAAGTCCCCAAACTCCGTACATGCAAACTGGGGCCCGTTGTCCGAAACGACCTGGTCCGGGCAGCCATAGCGTGCAAAAAGTGTTTTCAACTTCTGCACCACCTGTGAGGCAGTAGTTGTTGGCATGTGGAGTATCTCGATAAATCTGGAGAAGTAATCTGACACTACCAGGTAAGCGTGCCTGTTATAATCACACAGGTCGATTGCAAGTCTTTGCCAGGGCCTGTCAGGAAGAATGGTTGAGATGAGGGGCTCCCTTCGCTGTGTGTGCTTCATCTCACGGCAGGTTTGACAGGATTCAACTTTCAGTTTGATGTCAGTAGAAATGCCAAGCCACCACACAGATTCATTAGCCCGCTCCCTGCATTTGGTCAGACCTTGATGTCCGTCATGGATCCGATCCAGGATGTCAGCTCTCAAAGTAGACGGAATCAGCATGCGACAGCCTCTTGTGATGATCCCGTTGTACTCTGACAATTCGCTTCTGACTGGGAAAAAGTCTCTGATGGCAATAGGAACATTTCCTACATATTCTGGCCAACCTGACTTAATGTACTGCAGTATCATCTGCAAGTTACTGTCAGCTGCAGTGGCTAGCCTTATGGTCTCCAGTCTTTGTGGTGTGGCTGGCATGCTGCTGATAACCGCTGCAATGTAACACTCTACATCTGAATGTGTGTCACTTGCCTCTGTTGTGCACTGTACTGGGCTGCGAGAGAGCGTGTCGGCTACAGTGAGAGTCTTGCCTGGTGCATATTCAGCCGTAGGCTTGAACCGCATAAGCCTCATCAACAGTCTTTGGCAACGTTTTGGGACATTGTCCAGATCCTTTTTATTCATCAGCGGCACCAAAGGTTTGTGGTCAGTGACCAACTTGAAGTTCTCCAGCCCGACCAGGTACTTCTCGAACCTCTCACATGCCCAAACGCTTGCCAGACATTCTTTTTCTATCTGGGCATATCTGGTTTCGGCGTCGGATAAGCGGCGAGAACAATACGCAACCGGTTTCCAGTCCCCATCGTGTAGTTGTAGCAGCACGCCTCCAATGCCATAGCTGCTAGCATCGGCTGATACAGCTGTAGGTCGGTTCACATCATAGAACTTCAGAACAGGAGACGTAGACAGGATGTCTTTGATGCGCTGAAACGCCTGCTTCTGTGGGTGGTCCCACGTCCATGTAGTCTTGGATCTCAACAGTTCGTATAAAGGCTGGCCCACTGTTGACAGATGTGGAATATACTTTCCCAAGTATGTGAACATGCCCAAGACCCGTTTCAGATCCTGGACAGTCTGTGGTTCTGGCAGCTCTTTAATAGCTTTTACCTTGTCAGGGTCGGGCTTTACTCCTGACTTGTCAATCACCTGGCCCAGGAAGTGAAGTTGGTTCCGTCTGAACACGCACTTGTCTTTATTCAACTTCAAGCCTGCCGACTCGATTCTCTCCAGTACTTTGTTTAGGCGCTGGTCATGCTGTTCTGCTGTGTCGCCGTACACCAGTACATCGTCCATGTAGATGGCCACTCCGTCAAGATCACTCAGGGTCTCTGCCATCTTTCTCTGGAAGATTTCCGGAGCACTCGTGATACCAAAAGGGAGACGTTTGAATGCGTATCTCCCGAAAGGTGTAATGAATGTAGTCAACTTACTGCTTTCCGGGTGAAGAGGTATCTGCCAAAACCCTGAGGCCGCATCCAGGGATGTAAACATGGTGGCGCCACTCAGTTTTGCAGTGATTTCCTCTGCAGTTGGGAGAACATATCTCTCCCTCTTCACAGCCTCGTTTAACCTTTTCAGATCTACACAGATGCGCACTTTGCCGGTTCGTCTTGGGACTGGCACCATGGGTGCGCACCAGTCGGTCGGTTCAGTCACTTTTTCAATGACTCCGTTCTCCTCCATGCGCAGTATTTCCTCTTTTACTTTCTCTAAGAGAGGCAGGGGAACTCTTCGCGCTGTGTGTACTGCATATGGCTCTGTGTTCTCTTTTAGACGTATTTTGACGGGCTCGGTGTTGAGAGTCCCGTGCTCACCAAATGCTTTGTGCACTTCCTCAATGCGTTTGACTAGTCCCATTGCACATGCTGTATCTTTGCCTAGCAAATTATTAGCTGTCTGGCTGTGGATCACATAAACTGGGAATGAGTAGTGCTTTTCCTTGTATTTTGCAGTCGCCTGAAATTTCCCCATGCAACTTAGCTGACCACCGGGGCTGTTCATTGGTGGAATGTTTGACTGCACCAGTTTTTGCTCAGGGACTAACTTGTTGAATGTCTCTTTCTCCATCACGTTTAAATCTGCCCCTGTGTCGATTTTAAATTTAACCGGTGTTGCGCCAATCACAATTTCAACTGTCCATTGATCACTCTCTCTCTTAGTGTCTGTGACGGCACCTAGGAAATATGGCGTCTGAGAAACAGTAGATGCGTCTGTCACTTCTCTGACTGACTTACTGTGGCACATCCTTTCCCAGTGGCCCACTTTCTTGCATTTGTTGCAAGTTGATTTATTGGCTGGACACTTATCCTGGTCTCTGTGCTTTAGTTTGCCACATCTTCCACATTTTGGTTCACCACTTTCTCTCTTTTTATTTTTCCACTGCTGCTTTCCTCTGTATGGAGATTTTGCATGTGAGACCTCCTGCACCGCTGCGCACGCCTCGCCCTGCTGGTTCACCTGCCTGGTCACCTCCTCGGACTGGCGCACGGCCTGAATAGTTTGGGATAATGTAAGCTGCGTCTCCAACTGCAGTTTACGAGACATCTCCTTGTCGCTAATTCCCACCACTATACGGTCTCTGATGTGCTCCTCTCTCTGTGCCCCAAAGTCACAATGTTCCGATAGTTCATAAAGAGCCCTGATAAACATTTCAGCTTTCTCACCGTGCCGCTGCACCCTCTGGTGGAAACATGCGCGCTCGTGAATAACATTCCTTTTGGGGTAGAAGTATTCATCGTATTTTCCTAACACGACGTCAAACTTTTTTTTATCGGCGTCCTCCGCAAAAGTGAATGCTTTAAAAATGTTTTCAGCCTCCGGGCCCATTGCGTATATCAATGAGCTGACTTGGACCTCACCGTCCTCCTTGTTCAGCTTCGTAGCGACGCGAAAACGCTGGAAACGTTGCTTCCAATCGCTCCATTCAGTCGGGCGGTCGAACGGGAAACTCTCCGGTGGATTAAACTTGGCCATTTTCCTGAAGCCGTACGTCCGTCACCAGCTTCTGACACCATGTAAAGTAATTGAATGTCCACACAAAACGTCGTGCGTAGTGCAAGGCTTTTACTACGGGTTCGGAACTAGCATAATCAACATGCAGGTTAACAACAAGAGGTATATAGTGTCATCGCGGGAGTTACCCCGGTAACCAGGCCAGATGTGATTTACGGCACGTGAGACTACTGTCGTAAAGTATCTCTTACAT